TTTTCTCCATGGCTCTTGGGGGTTTCTCTACATGTGTGGGAGGGAGTTAAGCATGGATGGATAGATGAATGTCTCCTGAGTTTAAAAATAAGCCTTTAAAGCTGGGACATAGGGGCGCCTGGGTGGCTCAATCGGTTAAGTGTCCGACTTCGGCCCAGGTCATGATCTCACAGTTGGTGGGTGCAAGCCCCGAGTCGGGCTCTGTGCTGACAGCTCAGAGCCTGGAGCCTGTTTCCAATTCTGTGTCTCCCTCTCTCTCTGACCCTCTCCTGCTCACGCTGTCTCTCTTGCTCTCTCAGATAGAAATAAAACGTTAAAAAAAAAAAAAAGCTGGGACATAATGTGGGCCAAAATGGGCAAAGTTATTCGGAGTGGAAGTGTATTATTTATTGATTCAGAAAGGCTTCATCTTTCATTTATAATTTTAAAAATACAACAGGGATCATTTTAAAAGAGAAGATGACTTCATTTTGAAGCATTTGAAGCGAAATATTACTATTCCTATTGCGTGTGGGGGCAGGGTGGGGAGAGTAATAGATTAATGCTGTCTCATCTCAGATCTAAAGACTCAATTCTAGGGCAAGGAAGAGGCACGTGGTGGGAGATGGGATGATGCCAAACAAGCATAACGACTCAGCACCCAGAGCCTCTCTGGCTTCACCGTGCGTGGAGAACATATCTGCAGCGCATCTGCTAACCTGTAGCCGTGCGTTTCATGGCACCTGCCTGAAGATGCTTTACCTTCCACAAAACCGGAATGACAGAAAGATTGTGGGGCACTGTTAGTTTCCCGAGCCTGGCTGAACTTGACCCTTTCTCCTGGTGTCCACTGGCAATTGAGTGGGAAACTGCTTTTAGCTGGGCTTCACTCCAATAATCTATGTCATTAACAGTAGCTATATTTAAACCTGAAAGAATCGAACTCTGAGATCCTAGCAATTGTTATTGACATAAAGACCGGGTCCTCCAAAAAAATCCTTTAAAAACAACGATTTTAGCTCTGGGGCTGGGGATTTGCACATCCCTGCCTTCCAATCATCTTGGACTTGTTCCGTGAGACTGGGATGCACTCCTCTGTCACATTCTATTTAAGAGCACGTGGCACTGAAGGGTCTCACACGCAGGGTTGCCATATATCTTTCATGTATATTGGGGCAGGTGCGAGGTTAGAAACCACTGTATAAATAGAAGTTGAAGTCAACGTTTTCCAGGGAGACTTTATTAAGGATGCTGTTACGTGTTGAATTGTGCCTCGCCATTCATATGTTAAAGTGTCAAACCCCAGGACCTCAAAATGTATATACGTTGGCAGATAAAGTCTTTAAAGAGATGATTACATCAAAAGGAGGCTGTTAGGATGGGCCCCGATCCTCTATGACGGGTGCCCTTATAGGAAGAGAAGGAGACGCCAACACGTGCATGCCCAGAAGGAACCCCAGTGAGGACACAGCCAGAGGTGGCCATCTACAAGCCAAGGAGAGGGGCCTGAGGAGCCCCTGCCTGCACCTTGATCTTGGACCCCCAGCCTCCTGAACCGTGACAAGTAAATCTCTGTTGTTTAAGACTCCCGGCCAGTGGTACTTTGTTCCGGCAGCTTGAGCAGACGAAAACAGAGGCTAACTCACTTCTGGGCATGCTTCTTGCTAAGTGTTAAGCAGACAGAATGTTTTGTGTTACTTCTTTTGGGGGAAGCATTTCAGATATGGTCTTTTGGAAATAGATGCTGTCATTGAAGAGTGTGAGGAACAGGTGATTGGCAGAGGTGTGGGCAAGGCGGAGGGGGATGGGCAAGACTGGCAGTGTGGGTGCCATTAGCACACTTGACCTGAGGATAAAGGGGAGCAAAGGCTTGCTGGAGCCCTGCCAGCTGCAGCTCTAGAAGGGAGGCAGCTGGACAGAAACAGTGGCCACAGAGGGACAGGGGTGGCTGGGGTGGGGGAGATAAGTTGGCTACCCTCTCTCTCCTCTTGCCCTCTTAACCTGTGCCAGTGCCTCCTGTTGCCCGAACTGTGTCATGACGCGGCCCTGCAAGGCCAGGCTCACGGCATAAGGCACAGGGTGGAGAAGGGCGGAGAACACACGAGGGTGGGCATGGAGAACGGCAGTTCATCTCTCAGAAGATCCACTCCTGCTGCACTCAGCATGGCGCCCTCTCACCCTGGGTTTCTTTGCTTTTCACTTCTCCTCTCGCTTTTTGGCAGTTTTCTTAGTTGTAGTTTCTGCATTTTTAAAAGTGGGAGCCATAAATATCTTCTTCATGGGACTGTCATGACTGAAACAACCGATCTACCCACTGAAAGCCCCTGGCACGGAGGAGATCCTCTATTCATCTCATTTGTTCTTGTTGGGCCCTAACTACTCCTCCCCGGCCTGTATCTTCCTCATGCTCTTCTTCAAGCCTTCATAGGGCATGTGCCAGGCTCTCTTCGGGTGGCTTTGTCAGGAGGTCAGTGTGCTCTACAAAAATGGGACAGGAACAGGAAAGGAATAGGTCAGAAAGCAGTTTTATGTATTGGCCAGAATAGAGATAAAATAAGGGCTCATTAAAGAAATGGAAGAGGTTAAAGAGGAGGAGAAAGTGTAGAAGATCGATCACAAAAGAAGAAATAGGTGTTCTCTGGCTCATTTTCTTTCCAAGGTCTGAAACTTCACTCCTGTGGAAGGATGGAGGGAGGGAGGGAAGGAAGAAGGAGTAGGTGAATGGTTGGGTGGTTGGGTGGATGGATGGGTGGACAGATGGCTGGCTTGCTGGATGGCTGGATAAATGGATGGATGGCTACCTGGATGGATGGATGATGGGCAGATGGATGGATGGATGGATGGATGGATGGATGGATGGATGGATACATGGTTGGATGGATGGATGGGTGGATGGATGGATGGATGGGTGGGTAGGTAGATGGAGACTTGGATTCCTGCATACCTGTACATAACTGCTCTGTTCCAATAACAACATTATGATTTGAGAGGCACAGAAAGACATGCTAAGGATCCTAAGCCAGGGTTGGGAAGGAAATTTTCACAGGAGCATATGGGAACTGTCTTGCCAGGTAATCTGGTTGTCAAGAGTGGATGGGAGGGTGAGAGAAAGGGGTGACAATACTAAAAATAGATACAAAAACACAAGGCGAATTTTAGTCTTGGTTTTATTTTTGAAATGAGAGCCATAAATAGTCACAATCTTACCCATTCTTCATCTTTCTTGGCTTTTCACAGGGAACTCTTACCTAAGCACATAAGATGCATAGTTGGATCTAAGCCTCAAAGACATTTTATACCAAGAATCAGGAAAACTTTTAAAAGTGTTATTGATGGACCAGCAAGAGTGCTTCTTATTCAAAGAAGGGGGCAGTTCCTATCCCAGGAGATGGGAGCCCCAAGAATGGGCCTTTCTTGGTCTCACCAAGAGAGTTCAGTGAATCTCAGTTAAAAACATCAAAATGTGACTACTAATAATGGAAATTAAGGTAAGATCTCATTAGTTTTAACATGTCTAAGGTAATCATAACATGAGCTGTTTTATCCCAAGAATCGGACATTGTTAGTGGGTGTTATATTGCTCAGTGTAAACAAGTATACTGAGTCCACTAGTGGAGTAGGCTACCGTGGGGACTGCCGGATGCTTGGTGACATGAGCTGATGAATGAGGTCTCCTATCTGTCAAGAGGGAGACCAGACTCTGGGCCAGAGAAGTCCCCCGACACAGGGGGTGGGGCATCCAGTGAAGCTACACTCACTCTGTCTCTTCTTCTGCTTGTTTCCATTTCTCAGGGGCAACCCTGGCTATGCACAAATTCTACCCAGTTTACACTAAGTAGTGTGTCTTCCACTGACAAGTGTAAATAACTGAAGGATGGTTTCTGAGATTGAACTGGGCACCCCCTAGGTGTTTGAATTAAAGAGGCAAACCACCCCTGATTTCAGATAGCACCTGAAAAGAGTAGTGACTGTCAGGAGGAGATACCGTGTGGGAGGTAATGAGCATGGCCTTGCTCAGAGGTCCATACTGCCCTTTGCCCCCTAGACCTTCCACGCCTGTGAAAAATGGGATTGACGGAGTGGGAGTCAGAGGAATGTCAAGACTTTGTTCAGATTTCTGCCACTGTAGGCTTTCTGCTAGTTTTCTCTCACTCTCTTACTTTTTAATAGAGAAGTTGGAGTCTCCCCACTACTTTAGATTATTTTTGGGTACAATATGGCTTTGACTTGTGTGGTTTTCATTGTACTTTTTATATTTTTAATATTCCTTCTCTTTCTCTAATTTGCAGAATGCTTAGATTTACTTTCTTTAAAATTGTTTTTGCTTTCAATTCTAGTACTTTTTAATTTTTTAAGTAGGCTTCATGCCCAGTGCAGAGACCAACATGGGGCTTGAACTCAGGACCCTGAGATCAAGGCCTGAGCTGAGATTAAGACCAGAGCTAAGATCAAGAGTTGGATGCTTAACCTACTGAGCCACCCAGGAGCCCCAATTCTAGTACTTTTCAATTTTGTTTTTACTTTTGATTTGCTAGTCTCCATATTGACTTCTAGCTTCATGCATTTTTTTTCATGTTAATTGCAATAATTTTCACCTTCTCTATCCTTGTCCTTAATCTTTTATCCTTTCTACTTTTGCATTTTGATTTTTTACTTTTCTAGATTTTAAATCTAAGTTATATTTATCCGATCTCCATTTTATTATTTAAACTATTTTGACTTTCAGTCTTGGACGTGGCTTTGGCTTAATTAATTCACTCACTTAAAATATTTAATTGATGTTTTAAAATACCATTATTTGATCTTAACTTATTAGATCTATTCTTGTCTTCAACCGCTACCTTCCCTTTTATTCTTTCCTTTCTCTGATATTTTAAGTACTTTGTGCTTTCATTTTAGGGATCACACATAGTTTAGAATTTTACGCCGGAGATCACAAGGACCAGACAAGAAACAAAGATATGTGACTTAAGCCAGATATAAAGTGAGAGGGGAGCAGAGGGCACACGTACCTGGAGACAGCCTTTCCTGCCTAGAAGATCCAAATGAAGACAAACAACATTGAAGCAACTATCTAAGATTAAAAAATACAAACAGGAGTTAATTAATGGTGCTAATTTTTGAGTGGGATTATAGTTTGTTTTTTCTTTTTGTTTGTCTCTATTTTCAAAATCTTACAAATGTCGATCACAATGCTTTTGTAATAACGGGAGGAGAGTAAAAACAAAAGCCAAAGCCAACACAACAAAAACTCTATCCCAGTCAGACAAACACATCTGCTGGCTGTGTATGGCCTGCAGGCTCCAGTGTGACCTTGATTTATTTTCATAATGGCAGGAAAGAAGCTTACATTGCAAAGAGGGGAAGCTGGAGGCCTTGCTTCTCCCTGTAGCCACCCTCCTGTGCTCCTACTCAGGCTCCGTGCCCCTCAAGGAGAGTTCTTCCCAAATCGTTACTTGTAGGGTCTTGATGTTCCATTGGCAAAATTTCTTACCAGTAAAACTCAAGAAGCACTCGGTACATTCCAAGTGCTCCTGTTTCTTCTGAGCCACTGAATTCTTTTTATTTAACAGCTATTGAGAGTCATGTTTCATTCTTTGGGTTGAATACAATAGGATAACTGGTATTCATGATTTTAGTATTCTCTCGCAAGTGTCCAGCCCACAGATATTTGTGCTTTGATTTCCTCACTACTTTTTAATCCTGATTTGTTGAATATGTGCTGTGAGGCACCTAACTCAACTTTGTAATAACATAGGGTATACATAAAGTAATTGACTCAACGTGTGGGAACTGCCTCAGTTTACCTCCTCAGTCTCATTTCTGTAAAACTCTTTCCACATTGCTCTTCTACACACACACACACACACACACACACACACACACACACACACCATATGCATCAGTTTCCCAGAGCTATCCAGAATTAATAAAGATACTTGAATCCACCAGGCGTCCTTCTTGCTTCGTACTTGTTCTCACCTCTGCCCGGAGCTGGCTCTTTATCTTACTGGTTCCTACTCATTTTTTGGAGTTTGAATCTCCCGTTCACATAGCCTTCCTCAGTTTCCCTTTCCTGCCTTTCCACTTTAGATGCTTCTCCCAGCGCTCATGGAGCCCTCTAGAATAGTGTGTATGCTAACTGTAATGGTCTATTTGCTTCTCTTGATCTTGTCTCCTAAACTGGGAATTCTCTGGTGGCTGGGACTTAATACTTTTTGGAACATTTCCATTAAGTGCAAGTAAAATGTGCTTCAGACATGTTTCCACACTGAAATGAGTGACAAAACATAAAATTGCAACCAGAATGCTTTCAGGGGCATGGGCCTTTGTCTGGGTGGATTAATACATTCTATATAGATTTAATCTAGTCATTTAACCAAGCATCAATGTCAGCGAATGACATTACCTTAAATCGCTTGGATTCCCCTGCAGAGCAAGGTTTCACTCTATTAATATCTGTCATGACAGATCATTTGGTTTGCTACACACTGACCTTGCATTCAGTTGTGTAGAGAGATAGTTCAGGTTTTCAGATTCTACGTGAGTAAACCTCCGCACAAATTGTGTTTATACATTTCTAACTTTTCATGTTTACAGCACCCTATACATTTCCCTGCTATTCACCATACAACTCCGGATGTTTTCCTACACACCTGCTCTTTCTCTGGTCTACCCTCTCCGGATAAACCCCTCCTGCTCCTCCTGCAGCTGCTTGAAACCTTGAAATAGTGTCTGAGATTTGAATCCTCTCCTCTTCTGGCCCATGGCCACACCCCACGGATCGTACCCTAAGAGCCGTCCCACATCTGCTCTTTCCCTTCTGCTCTCTTTGCTCCTTTCTCGGTTTGGCCCTTCATTGCCTGTCACTTACTGTGAGGACTTCGTAGCTCATGTCTCCTCCGGATGAGAGGAATCTTCACAAGGCCTGTCCGCTCTCCCCCTGCATTCGGGGTCCACAGCGCTGGGCCCAACCTCTGGGCTTACACATGCTGAATGGGCAAACTCTTCAGAGGCTCCTCACAGTCTATGTCTGAATTCCTTACAAGACACGAGTGGCCCTACATGGTTACGTCCTAATCTCTTCTCTGCAACTTGCTCCGGCGTTTCCCAGTTCTCTAGCCTCTCCGATGTCATTTCACACCCCAGGGGTGCCCTTGTCCAGCTATCTCTGCTTGTCAAAGTGACATCTGCCCTTCAAGGTTCAACTTGGCTTGTATCTTCCATGATTCCACTTGGATAGATATATCTTCCCTCTCCGTCATATTCCGGGGGAATTTATTGTATAGTTTACTTCTCTCTTAGAACCTACTACATTGTTTTCCTGACTTTTTTTCTTTTTCATTTGAAAACATCTGTGAATTTCTCTTTCCAGGCTAGAGGGATTCTCCTTGATAGCAGGAAAAACCATTATACAGTAAAACCTTGGATTGCGAATAACTTGTTCTGCGAGTGTACTGTAAGATGAGCAAACATTTCTAATAAATTTTAACTTGACAAATGAGCGATGTCTTGCAATATGAGTAGTAAGTGATGCTGCATGTCACATGATCACAGCTGAGCCAATGGTTCTCTCTCTCTTTCTCCCCCTCCCCTCCATCCCATGCTCGGATGCTTAGTCTCAGGCCGTGGTGTTTGGCAGAAATCAGTTATTTTTCAGAATGTTGGAAGGCGCCCACAACTGGGACTAGTGTATTTTTTGTTCCTTCAAAGCACCTACGGACAGTCCTTTGCTTTTCCACACAAGAGTAAGCTGAGGAAGGCTTTGCTTCCTTCTAGGTCAGGCTGCCTGCAGATATAGACCCTTTCCTCTGCTGCCTTATTGCCAGTTACATTAAGTACAGTAGATGACAGGAGTTTAATACTGTACTGTAGTCAACACCTGTGCGAGCATGTACAATGGCCCCTGTGCAAGACAAGATTCCAATGGGCCAACAGAGAGCAGATTCCATTAGTGATGGTGAAAGTTGTCCTACACAATAACCCTCTTCTCTTGTCTCCCTCACAGCAACCATGAAGGTTTTCAGCAGTAAGTGCAGGTTAATTTGTTGATTTTTGTTTATATTTTGAATTTTCTTTATTATTTTGTGTTCTGTTACAGTAGTGGAATCATTTTTTATATGAATATTTTTGAGCTGTGGAACGAATCATCTGAGTTCTCATGGGGAAATTCGCTTTGATAGACAAGTGTGTTGGATCACTGGAAGCATGCTTCTGGAACGAATTATCCTGGCAAACCAAGGCTTTACTGTACTTGCCTTGGCATCCTCTGGAGCACCTTGCAACCTGTGTCCCCGGGGACACTAACTGAATACAATTAGTCCTCTGTAGGCAATAACCGAGAAAACCTGATTATGTCACATGGGTAGAGGAAGGGACCTGGGGCTCACAAACAGGAATAAAACACAGCCCTTCCCCTCAAGGAACGACTCAGACTGGGAATAAAGACAATCAGGAAGTCTTCCGGGATTTGTTAAAATAAAAATCCTCTGGGGCCCCAGGCAAGTCCCTAACTTCTCTGTTTCTTAGAGGACTCTTCTGTTAAATATCCCATCTTCCAGGGCTTTTCCAAGGAAAGGTAAACTTTTAAAAAAACACCCACATTGTGAGTTCAAGCCCTGTGTCAGGCTCTGTGCTGACAGCTCGGAGCCTGGAGCCTGCTTTGGGTTCTGTGTCTCCCTCTCTCTCTGCCCCTCCCCTGTTCATGCTCATGCTCTGTCTCTCTCTCTCTCAAAAGTAAACAAACATTAAAAAATTTAAAAAAGTAAAAAACACTCAAATCTGTTAAGATCTTTAAATTTTGTAAGAAAAGCTGTTGCATAAATAACCCACATATACACGGGTTTGAAATGGTTAACTAGCAAAACTCCCAGGCCCCGATGGTCAAGGGGAATGACTGATAATGAAGGCAAGTTCTTCAGGTAGCATCAATCTGGGAGTTAGTTCCTTCCTGTCGAAGCCCGCGGGGCTTATATAACTCGGCCTTACCGCAGCACAGAGATAAAAGGCGTCCTGGGCAACTGCGGCAAGTAATTTTGCAGACCATGCATTGCAAGAGAGTGTTGTACGTTTGTTTCAGGAGCGAATTAGGAACAGTAATAACCGAAGCAATAAAATGAAGACTCTGTATTCTTAATAACTGAATTTGGAGCAATTGCTCTTCAAGTTTTCTACTAATATGAAGGCAAGGTACACGTGGATCTAAAAGCAGAAGCGGTTCCAGACAGGGGCGCTCGAGCACATTGGAGGAGGGTCCCTATGGGACCAGTACAGGGTTGTTGCCCTCCTCAGCAGGCTACAGGTTTGTTTAAAATAAATTCTTACTGCAGGAAATAGGTTCACCCTATACCTCTTTACTGTTTGTGTAAATGTGTAGCGCGAATATTAGTTTGCTTCCTAGGCTTTGGTTTACTCATTCTCAGGTAACCCTTCTGCATTGTTTGTAAAATATTGACTTCAGGGCACCTGGGTGGCTCAGTTGGTTAAACCTCTGACTTCAGCTCAGGTCATGATCTCACGGTTCGTGGGTTCGAGCCCCATGTCGGGCTCTGTGCTCATAACTCGGAGCCTGGAGCCTGCTTTGGATTCTGAGTCTCCCTCTCTCTCTCTGCCCCTCCATGACTCATGCTCTCTCTCGTGTGCTCTCTCCCTCTCTCTCTCAAAAATACATAAAACATTAAAAAAAAAATTAAAAAAGGCGGCACCTAGGTGGCTTAGTCCGTTAAGCGTCCGACTTCGGCTCGGGTCATGATCTTGCAGTCTGTGGGTTCGAGCCCCGCGTCGGGCTCTGTGCTGACAGCTCAGAGCCTGGAGCCTGTTTCAGATTCTGTGTCTCCCTCTCTGTGACCCTCCCCTGTTCATGCCATCTCTCTCTCTCTCTCTCTCAGTAATAAATAAAACATTAAAAATTTAAAAAAAAATAATAAAACACTGACATCAAACAGATTTCCTTCAGGTAGTGAGGGAAATGGATCTTATCAATCAACAAGTGTGATCTGGAGAGGGAGAGGGTTGAAGAAGAGGAATAATTAATGTTCGCTGAATACTGGCAACTGTACAAGTCCATTTATGTTCATTTCATACGAGGGAAACGGATAGGGGCTCTGAGACAGTAAGTTACCTACCGAAGTACACAGTGGCTGCAGAGTGGAAATTCTCGGTGGTTTTGCTCAAGAGCTCATGCTCTTTGCATCCTGCTCGTCTTCCTCCTGAAGTTTGGGGTCCAGGGTAAGCAGACAATGAATGGCGTCTACTTATGGCCTGTGCTTATGTTCCTGTAACCCATTCCGGAGCCAGATAACTTCAGGTCTGGGTGTGCCCCCGCCCCCCCCCCCCCCCCCCCCCCCCCCCCAGCAAGGTCAGGACTGTGTGTCTCTTGGATGAGGGTCAGGAGAAACTGACAGGGGTCACGTGGGGCCGGGCCAGTGTGGAAGTAGGCAGCATATGCGGGCCATCGTGCTTGCCAGGCCAACAGTCATGGGGACACTTACGTTCTTCCTGATGCTGTTGTCATCGGCTTCCTGACCTTCGTGAGGGATGGAAGCCCCGGGGAAATTTCTGAGCCTGATGCACCAGAGCCCTCTGTCTATTAGTGCTATTTGGATTGCTTGCATGTTAGTTTTTCCTATGATATCATGAAAATTCATTCAATAAATATTAGCTATATGCCTAGCATGCGTTTGGGTCTGGGGATTCAAGATGAAAAAGAGTTTCTGCCCTCTGGGAATTCCCTGTTTGGTGCGGGACATGAGAGATGGTAGTACAGGGAGGTGAAGCGGAAGGGGAGGAGGGGTGTGTGTGAATACCGGCATGAAGGCTCCGGAGAGGGGGGCATTTGAACGGCGGTGTGAAATGTGAGCTTCCCGGGTGAAGAAAGGCAGGAAAAGCATTCAGACAGAAAATGTCCAGGCACACAGGAGAGTATTAGAGAGCAGGATGCTTTGGGAAAACTGGAGCTGGGAATTAGTGAGCTTATTTGACTTACCTCGTAGATAGTAGGAGCCTCTGAAGGGGTCTGAGCACAGGAGAGATACAATTCAATCTGTATTTGAAAAATACCACGTGAAATAATGCAAAGACAGACCAAAGGGAAATGAAGCCACGGGAAACGTGTTAGAAATACTATCCCAGCACAGAAGGTGACTGCAGTGACCTTAACTTGAGTGGTGGCAGTGGGGAAAGCGGAGGGGACAGACTTGAGAATTCCCCGCTGTGGTATCAGAATAGTGTGTACACAGCGTTCCACTGTCTCACTGAGTGATGTTCAGGGCTGTCCTGGTCCACCGGCAAAGCAGCTTTCCCGTGAACATATCACTTCAGGAACTCTGGTAAACAACATACTTTCTTGGGGCGCCTGTGTGGCTCAGTCGTTTGAGTGTCCGACTTCGGCTCGGGTCATGATCTCACGGTTTGTGAGTTTGAGCCCCGCGTTGGGCTTTGAATCTTCTGTCCCCCTCTGTCTCTGTTCCTACCCCGTTTGCTCTTGCTTTCTCTTTCTCAAAAATAAATAAACAATAAAAAACCCAATACTTCCTCTGTGCCTTATCTGTAAAGTGGGCATCACACAATGTATGCAACAGATATTACGAACATTAGCGAGAACAAGTGCACCATATGGCAAGTAGTGAGTCACCTTCTATTTCTCCTCCCCCTTATTTTTTATTTTTTAAAGAATTTTTTTAAATGTTTTATTTATTTCTAGGAGAGAGAGAGAGACAGTGTGAGCAGGGGAGGGTCAGAGAGAGAGGGAGTCACAGACTGAAACAGGCTCCAGGCTCTGAGCTGGCAGTCAGCACAGAGCCCGACGCGGGGCTCAAACCCACGAACCGCGAGATCATGACCTAAGCGAAAGTCGGACGCTTAACCGACTAAGCCACCCAGGCGCCCCTCTATTTCTCCTCCCTTAAAAATGAAGTTAATATCAATAGACTGCCCTGCTCTAATGAGATAATCCACTTATTTTCCAAGTTAAGATAAAGTTTCTCTTTCTGTTGGGGAAGATTTCATTCGTGTGAGATGTGGGTATATAGACGCGTGTATTTATTCCACTCGAGTGTCAAGATAAAAATAGATACTCTCCTCCAGAAGAAAGCTAGACTAAGCACAGCATGTTTATAAAGATTTACGTATGGAGCTAAATTAATTCTTGAGAACTGAGGTATTTATAGTCATCATTTCACCTCATCCTGAGAACAAGTACAAATGAGCATGTCAAAAATGATGACAATTATTATGCCTTTATAATTCGATTTCTAACATATTCTAATTATATTCTTTTAATTAGTAACCACTCTTGTTTTTGAGCTTCCCCAAAGTGAGATTGAACTCACTTCCTAACGCAAAACAGTTTGTAATTTTTATGTAATGTGACACGTTATTAAGTAAAAAGAATGACAACTGTGTTTTTTCACTAAAGACTCAGTAATGATGAGAGAACTTAAGCTAATCACTGAGCACATATCCAACCTATGAAGCGTCTAATTTATAAAAGCCACCGTGTTGTCCCTCTCCGAGCCATCTGATTAAAGATAACGCCAAAACGACATGTGACATTCGGGAATTTACCCGAGAGCTTGGCCAGGCGAGGGGCAAGAGGAACAAAGGTGACAGGTTTCAAGAGGTTTAAAAACTGTCGTCGGGAAGATCTTATCAGGAATGTGCTCGAGATCTTGTTCAGTGGTCACTGCAAGAGACAGTACGCATTCAGCTCGCTGGCGGGTCCAGCACCGGCCACACCGCCTGCTTTCTGAACGTCATTTCACTAAACATGAATGACAGCTCGCTCGCCTCGCCTCATCAGAAGTCTCCTTACTCCACCAACCCCCTTGGCTCCCAAATTTGATATTACTAGTTCAGCATGACACCCATTCCTGGGGATAAGGACATTCTTTGTCAGGCTGGCCCGTCATCTACAGAAAACAAAAGGGAAACAAGGCATTTTGAGTAGTTAGACATACTTGGTCTCCACGATCCCATTTTATAGGCTCTGCTTGTCTCTTCTTATGCTCTAGAATAATCCAGACAGTTTTGCTCCTGGAGGTACATGCTGAGGTATTTAAAGTGTCTTAGTGTCTGCAATTTGCTTCCAGGGGTTGGCTGAAAAAAAAGTCACGTGCACAGTGAGAGAGACTGATGAAGAATGAAGGCGTAAATATGGTGGTGTGGAGACATTTGGTGAATCTGGGTAAGAGGTATATAGGAGTTCATTGTACCGTTTTTTTCAGTTTTCCTTTACATTTGAAAATTTTTCACCATAAACATTGGAGGAATCCCCCAAATTAAAAAAAAATACATGTGATAAACTTTTTAAGATTTACCAATAGTTGAAGGGCATCAGAATTTGACGGTGAGTATACTGGAGGGCCATAAATAAAACAAAGGTGGCTTTTCCAAAAACTTTTATTTCCTCTTTCCTATGTTAACTTCATTATGTTAGCATCATTAACCATTAACTATGGTTCCCCATTTTAGTGATGAACGGATTTTAGTTTTTAGTATAGCTTTAGATTTAGAGCATAATTGAGCAGATAGTACATAGTAATCATACTCACCCTGCCCCCACCCTTCTATCCCTTACGTGGTTTCTCTATTATGAACAATACCTCACACAGTTTCTCCAGTTATTAACACCTCGTGCGGTTATAATTAATGAACCAATATTAGTGAATTTTTAGTAATTAAAGTCCAGAGTTTACCTTAAGGTTCACTTTTGGGTTTTGCCTTCTGTGGATTTTGACAAGTATATAATGACATGTACTCACCATTATGTATTGTACAGAATAGCTTCCTTGCCTTAAAAATGCTCTGTGCTCTGTCTATTCACCCCTCCCTCCCTCAACCTCTGGCAGCACTGATCTTTTTAGTTTTCATAGTTTTGCATTTTCCAGAATCTCCTAGTTGGAATAGTACAGAACGTAGCCTTTTTAGATATGCTTCTTTCACTTTGTAATATACAGTTAAGATTCTGCCCTGTGTTTTCATGGCCTGATTGCTCATTCGTTTTATCACTGAGTCACATCCTACTGTCTGGATGACCCCAGTTTGTTCATCCATTCACCTACTTAAGGCCTTGGTCACTTCCAGTGTTTGGCGATGATGAATACACATTTGCGTGCAAATTTTTGTGTTGGACATAAGTTTCCAACTCATCTGGATAAAGCAAGGAGTGCATTGCTAGACTGAATGGTAAGACTATGTTCTGCTTTGTGAAAAACTGTCACACCATTTTCCAAAGCGGCGGTACCATTTTGCATTCCCATCAGCAGTGAATGAGCGTTCCTGTTGCTCCACATCCTTGGCAGAATTTGACGCCATTGGTTTTGTTTTGAACGTTAGCTATTCTAGAAAGTATGTTGTGCTATTTCATTGTTGCTTCACTTTGCAATTCTCTGCCACGTGCTGTTGAGCATGTCTTTATTTGCCATTTGTATATCGCCGTCTCTTCAGTGAGATGTCTGCTCAGATCATTTTTTAAGTTTATTTAATTTGGGAGAGAGAGAAAGAGAGAGAGCGAGAGAGAGCGAGTGAGCAGTGGAGGTGCAGAAAGAGAGAGGAGAGAGAGAATCCAAAGCAGGTTCTGTGCTGTTAGCTCAGATTCAAGAACAGTGAAATCATGACCTGAGCTGGAGTCAAGAGTCAGAAGCTTAACTGAATGAGCCACCCAAGTTCCCCTTGCTGGTTTTTAAACTGTTTTCTTATTGATATTTGAACAACTTTTTTTTTTTTTTTCCAGTGGGTCATCTCATGAATAGGGGGAGGGGCCAATCATGTATTCATTTATTCCACATCCACAACTATGGCAGAAACCGCATCTCCCTTCTCCTTTACTAACAGAATCCGGGCATCGTTGCAGACAAGGTCCTTGGCCTCCAATATTTAGTATTTCAGCCTCCTCTGAGGGGTGGTCAGCGTGACACAGGTCTGGCCCATAAGAAACAAAAAGCAAACACAAAGTGCTGTTTGGGGTTTCCCAGAAGGACTCTTAGAAAGGAAGACTCAGTCGGCATGCACCACTTTGATCTTTTGCCCTTTATCTATACCTCTACCATTTCCCAGAATGTGCCCAGAAAGGAAGCGTTCATCTTCTGAAGACGAAGACAAGGTCACTTGACAAGGACAGTAGAGCCACTGGATAGAAGGAGTCTGAGGTCCAATGACAAGTTGGTGATGTTGTAGAAGCCCAGGGCCATCTCTCGACTCCTTGTTACGTAATGAGAAGCGCCCCCTATTTGGTAAGCATTTTAGTCAAGTTTCCGTTAGAGGCAACCAATTCATTCCCCGATATGGTAACATTTTCCAGGCGTGGTGCAGTGTGAGACGCTGTCTCCCTCACAAGACTATTCTAAGCAATTTTTATTTAAAGGACTGGTTCACAGAAGTGACTACATTTGAAAAATTTTCTGTATATTATGGGCACAACGCTAAGGATGGAGTTATTATTTACAACGTGTTCAGCACTGTACTGGGCATTATGGGGAGAGGAAACGAGAGAATGAAATAAGGACCTTACCCTCACGGAGTTTACCATCTGATTAGAGATGAGAGTGACCTCTATGAAATAATCCCGAACATTTCAGGACAGGAAGATTAAGGGCTAACAGTGGGTATAAACTAGCAGCAGTTCAAATAAGGTGAGCTCTCTCACAAAAGAAGAGAGGAGCAAGGGAAATGTGATTGTCAACTCTGAAAACACACTTTGGGTCTCCTACAGCTTTGTATTTTTGAGTATTAAATCCATGACCGGAATATAGACATGAAAGCTAGTGCCCCGGTAAGTGAAGACAAAATGGAGAGAAGTCACTTTAATTTGTATACCAGTTCAGCTTTGAATTCAGAGGAAATCTATCACGCTAGTATCAATATTTCAGATACAGGGCACTGTAAATAATTCACTAAAATTCTATTTACTTTATTAATTGCCGGTATATTTCATGTTGACGTGAAATGGAAACTAAGTACACGTTATTTTATTTTTAATGTTTTATTTATTTCTGAGAGAGAGAGAGAGACAGTGTGAGCAGGGGAGGGTTAGAGAGAGGGGGAGACACAGAATCCGAGGTCAGCACAGAGCCCGACGCGGGGCTCGAATCTACCAACCGTGAGATCATGACCTGAGCCGAAGTCGGACGCTTAACCGACTGAGCCCCCCAGGCGCCCCTAAGTATATGTTATCTTAAAATAGAGCTTTTGCAACCCTTCCTTTGGTAGGTTAATGGATTTCACCTGAAGAGGGTCCGGTGATTTTTCTTACCCATTTCTGGTGTTGCTAATTTCGCCAATGCTGTTGCAACTTTTTTCTTAGGGTTCTCAGTTTTAGTGATGAAAGAATACAGGCATGCAACTAAAATACAGAGGACGTCTCTAAAGGTTTTAAACCCCTTTTCTTCAGGGCCTGGGGGCACGAGACCATATTTGGCTTTTCTTTTTCTTCTCTCCCTTTCCTCTTCCATTCTTGAGGTCACAACCGAGTCATCAAGTACCCCCTGGCTGTGTCTCACTGCACGGGCTCAGTTTCAGGGTTACCAGATGTTTAATAGGCGCCGTGGATTTTCTCTCATCTGGGGTGGAGGGAGGCCGGGGATGGGGTGGATAGAAAGACTCTGTGGAAGGGGAGGCGGACTGGCAGCATGGTCACGGATTGGAGAAGGGCATCAAACCAACAGATGACAAAGGCTCGAATCTTCTCAAGGTTGCCTGAACTTAACCCTGTAGGACGTCTGACTACCTTCAGGTAGATGGACGCGTTCGCGGGGCCCTCACACCCAGGAAGGTTAGGGCACGGGTGGGAACTCAAAGGGATGCAGTGGGTACATGGGGGCAGAGGTGACGGAGGGCCCCTGAGGGTAAACTCGGCCCGAAGCAACCTCACCTCTCCTCGGGGGCACCGACTCCGGCCACGGCCTCCTCCGGAGCCGGGGGCGGAGGACGGATCGTGAGAGCCACCTCCTCCGCAATGCCCCGCCCCTCGGCGCCGACGCTCCGCGCTCCTCCCGCTTCCCCATTGGCCGAGGCGCTCGCCAATCCTGGCGAAGCGGCTCGCTGAGAGGCCCCTGGTTGGTGGAGCCGGCGCTGAGCCCCCCTCCTGCTCCGGCCGGGCCCCCAGCCGGGAGGGGGCGTGGCCGCGGCCGTGGCCGGGCCGGAGGCGGCGTCGCTGGCGCCGCTGCGTGCGGTGTGGTGCGGGGCGGGGGCGCCGGGCGGCCGCGGCGCGGCGGGACCATGGAGCTCGGAGCGCAGCCCCGGCGCCGGCGGCGGAACCGCGGGCCGGTGAGTGCGGGCTGCGGCCGGCCGGACTCCCCGGTCCTGGCCCCTTCGCGGCTCGGCTCCGGGCCGAGGGGCTGCCCCGGGGGAGGGGCGGGCGCGGGCCGGGTCCCCGCAGCCCCGTGGCCAAGTGAAGTTGCTGCATCGCGCCGGGCGCTTTCGGGGTGGGCGGCGGGGCCCACTGCGGGCCGCGGCGCCGCCCCGCGCCCTGCCCCGCAGCCCGGCCGCATCCTCCGCGCCGGCTCCCGCGCCGGCCCGGGGCTTCCCGCCGTGGCGGCGCGTCCCGGCGGCCGCTCTCCCCGCGCGGTCCCTCGGCCCTCGGCCCCGGGCGCCGCGCGCTTCCCGGGCTGCGGGGCAGGCGCCCGCCATCCCGGCCGCAGGTGGCGCCCGGGCCTCCGCTCGCGCCGCACGCACGATGCTCGGGGCTGCCCGGCGTGCGGCACCTTCCCGTCCGTGGCCCTGCGCGCCCCGCCGGCGTGTGGCCCGGTCCCCGGCGTGCCTGGCGCCCCGGGTCGGGCCCTGCACCCTCGGCTTCGCCCTCCGCGCGCCTCTGCGCCGAGTGCCCCCTCCCCCGGGTCTGCAGGCCCGCGGGGCCCCCGGCCGCAGCAGCCAGGCTCGGCTCCCCGAGCGCAGGGCAGGGGTCGGGCAGCCGGCGAGGGCGCGCGGCGGGGCGCGGGGACGGGGCTGCGCGCCCGGGAGCCGCTTCGCGGGCGCGGATGGTCCCCGGAGACTTTACCAGCGCGGCGGGCGGGGGCCGCGGCGCCGGCTCCCGCCTCCTCCTCCGCGCCGGAGCCCGGCGCGTGGAAATCCTTCCCCTCTCCGGCCGTGGTACTTACAGGCAATGGCGATTTCTTCTTGGCTTCACCTCCCTGCAGGGGAGATGTTCGTGGCGGAGAGCAGAGTTCTTAATTATTAAGAAGCTAAAGCGCTGGGCTTAGGGATGAATGGGAGCATCTCATTTTTCTTAGGCGCTGTTGGGCGTATTAGGAATTCTTTCTCATTTGGGGGTCAGTTTAACTCATACTTGGCTACCAGCAATGAGTTTTGAGTTTTGAAAAAACCGAAAATTAAAAGATCCGCTTTTGCTTTGTGGCTCTCCAAATCCAGTGCATACTGGGGCATGAAATTTTAACATTCAGAATCCACATTTTTATTTTGTGAGGGGAGCGGTTAGCCACTTTTAAAAAATTAGGTTTGTCTAAAACTTAACATGCCTGCGTCTCCATCAAAACTAAGTTCAAAGTGTTATAAATGACTTATTTTTCTGCCGCCTCTAGGGCAAATTCTCTTGAACCTTGGTTGCTTTTTTTTTTTTTTTTTGGTATATGCTTTATCCAACTTTCCTTTTCTAGCAGTGAAACAATGCAGTGATTCTTTAAAGCTGGTTCTTTTATCTACTTTGAGAGGTTAAACAAAGGAAAGCGGGGTTTGACCTTTCCCATAGTCAGTTCTTATTGTGTATCTGGTCTCCTTTCTAATAGCGTCCACACAGTGCTCATTTTCCTTCAGTTTTAAAGATCTTGATTTATATTCACAAAAGTCGTGTCCTTTCGGATGTGTAAAGCTCACTGGGTTGGGAAGTTTGCTTGGCTTTATGTATTTACAGTGTGACCCCTGTTCCCTGTTGGCTTAAAACAGTGACAAGAAGCTCGTTCTGGAACTATCTACACAGAAAAATTCTCCCTGCGTTTCCAGTTGCAGACATGAAGTTGCTCTGTAGCAGGGTTTTATCAGTTTCCTTAAAATTTATGACACACTAGTCAATGATGTGCTACACTGTATTTCAGTTGCTAAGCTGTAGCCAACATTGTAGCCCGTTGTAGATATACTTTACCCTTCCCATAGGAACCTGCACATGGCATCACCTTTTGGTTATTGGAATGGTTCCATGAAAGCATTAAAGAATGGCCAGCACTAGTGGTTTCTTCTAGAGTTCCCAGAACTTTCTTTGAAAAATCATCATTGACTGTATTTCCCACTTCTACACAGCTGTCGTTCCTTTACCTTCTGGGACCTGGCCCCACATCGTTGTACGGATTGTAGGCGGTCACCTTCTCAGTCCTTTTAGCTTAGCAGCCTGCTTTCCTCTGCAAGGTCAAGTTTCTTGGGACCTACTTGGGCATTTGGAGCCAAATGCTGCTTGCAGTCCACGTGTGCTTCAGGGCTGCTCCTTCACACATGACCCGTTTTATGCTGGGAATATAAATATTGTATGCCATTCGTACGTAAAGAAGGCACATTGTCAAATAAACGGAGTGTCACTGTGGAGATACGCGGAGTAACCCGTCTCCCTTCCCTTTTGCTCTTCTGATTGGTGCTCCTGTCCTGTTTCTTCCTGCAGAGGTAACCAAACCTGATACGATGGGGTGCGGCCTTCCAGAATTTTTTCAATAACCTTTTTTTTCTTCAGAAGCCATTTGGTGGATGCCAGCTAAGTACCCAGGGCTATTTTAATACTGGGATCGCAGAAATAAGAGATAAAAGCGCTTGAGACGATGAGAGTCTGCCTCAGCGCAGTGGGAGTTAGTGAGCAGAGAGGGGTGTGGACCATCACAGGAATGACCTGGTCCATTCATTGGCTTGCTTCATTCATTCGCTCCACGCCTGTTTGTCATACGTGCTGGGGATACAAAGATCAACAAGGCGGACCCCCCCCCCCCCCCCCCCCGTTTTAGCATCTGGGTTCTCAGACAGTTTTAACCATAGACACGTCTAGCTAAGCAGTGTAGGGATGGTAAGTGCTCTGAAAGGGCTCAGCTACCAGAGCTTACAGGGTGACTGCAAACCTGAGCTTAGGGGCTATTCAGAGAGGAGACAAACCAGAGGAGGCATCGGTCAGAGTCTGGGTCGAGGAGAGGCTGGGTAAAGGCTGTCACAGAGATGGGCTGTGGGAGCACCTGAAGGAGTTCAGTGTGCTGGTGTGACAAAGCGTGGGTGGGCGGGGAAGTGGCGAGAAATGGGCCAGGAGAAGTGACCGGGGGCGGTGCCGCGCGGGGTCTTGTGATCCCTGTTGTAGCGCGTTTGGCCTCTTCTATAGGCAAAAGGAAACACTTGCAGAATTCTGAAGCAGAAGGGCGTGATCAGATTGGCCCTTTGCAGAATGGATGGAAGGGAGCAAGTGTGCAAGGAGGTAGAATTAGTTCCTGGGACTTGGTTGTTGGCCGGTGGGGGGATCTGTGCGGGATTTAGGACAGGGAGGGGTTCTGGGCCGTGCTGAGTCCTGGCTGGCCATTCGGGTGAATGATGGGGCGGATGATGGTGCCTTTCTGAACGGAGCAGCAGCCATTTGGGGGGAAAGACGACCGGCGCACTTGGCTTTGATAAGTTTCAGGTGAGGCTGTGGGACGTGGCGTTCAGTTGCCTGCATTAGGGATCCGGCTGTCGGGGGCTGTCGGGACTTGAGACAGATGCCTGAGAGTCCTTCGACCACCATTCCCAAACTACGAGCTGATGTGATGCAGTGAACTCCCACGGAGAATGCAGGATACTGAATCGCAGAGGGAAGCTCAGCACTACGTAGCATCTGTCCAACGCTTTGGGGGAGATGGCTCAAAGGAATCTACCGTTTCCACTGTCAGTCGCGTTCTCTTTTCGTAGGGCTGGGCGGTGAGTGGTTGCGTTCCACGTGAGATTCATGTGTGACAGGAAATGAACGAGGTGACCTCCAGTCCAGCTCCAAGGTTTGAGAAGTTGTGAGGTGCTCAACAGGTGCGCAGGTGCCCTAAGTAAATGCTGGGGGTGTATTTAGCAATGACAGAAAAATACTGATTTTTTTTTCTCAGTTGAAATGTGCTTTTTAAAAAGGGGTAATACGTTGTTAGGGCATAAATTCGTAAGTTATTTGAACGTATCCAACAATTCAGCACTCAGGCATTTCTTTTGGCCCGAGACACTAAGGATGTACTGCACAGAGAAAGTTCCAGAACCTCTGCCTTTGCCCGTATTTGTTAACGGAGGCCGTTGGAGTGGATGGAGTTCTTCAAGAAGCACGCACGGGGAAAAGGAGTGGCGTTGAATGTGACCTGAGGAGCTCTCGTGTTCAAAAGATACGCAGGGGAGAATAAGCTCTCACAGTGAGACTGAGAAGGACAGTTGTATGGGTGTGGGGAGGGGGACACGGATGATGTCTTGCCAGCCATGGTCCAAAAGAACATCAGCAACGACGGGTGCTAACAGCCAGGGAGCTATTAGTCATATAGGAGGTGGCAGTGGTGACCCAGTAATGGGTATATGAGCGGGGTGGCCAGATAGTGAGAGAGTTTAATAGCCCGTAGAAGTAGTACCAGTGTGTGTGGACAGCTCTTAAGTGAGGTGGTGATGGAGAGGGGCTCTGGGGCTCCAGGCTGCCGGGGTGGGGGTGGGGGGAGCTTTTTTGTTTTTAATGGCGGGATTTGAGCATGTTGAGCCAAGAGGGAGAGCGTGCTAGCTAGCGAGAGATCCAGACAGAGAGTGGTTCCAAAGTTCCCACTGGGTTTAGCCCTTGGATATCATGACTGGCTTTCACTAGAGGGGTCTTGGGGAGCCTTCCTGCCATGGACGAAGGACTGAACGGGATGTGGGTGGGGTGGCCAGGCGGGTCCTGCGGTTCTTCCAAGCTTGGTTATGGACCGGAGAGAAGGGCATTCACTGGGGAGGCACATTGAC